TAAAAATTGGATATGTATCAACAATTAATCATACTTGGTCAAAATTCCCGATTGTCTATATCTTCTTATGAAGAGGTTAACAAATGATTTACAATTGTTTACCCATACACACATACACCATTGTATGCCGCATATACACATATTTTTCCATATTCAGTTATCTACGACCATGAACTTTTAGTCGAACGTAATCTGATGAAAAGTACACTCTGTTTAAAGTGTTTAACAAAAGTAGACTAATTTTTGAAAGTTTGAGGTCAAATTTGGATCACAGTTCATACAATTTTGTTTATTATACATGTTGTTACCTGTTTCATGACTCATATGAGTGGACAAAGTTTTTAAAAACAAGAGGTGTCCTTTTTATACATAAACCTTTGTTATGTTAATTTTGATTGATTTCCCTGAAGAAGTCCGGACTAGATTGCCGAACGAAACGTTGGAATTACTCATTTCGATTTCGCTGAATTACAAATATAATGTCTACTTCTCACTCGGCGCCCAATTATTTGGGAACTATTCGGTGAAATCTTGATCACAGTTCCTATGAATTAATAGATTCTGTTATTAGTCTCTCTTTCCATTTGTTCATATTCGATTTCAGAATACAAACATTGTTCCAATCAATATTGTGGTTTTTTCCCATGCATGTACAGCTATAGACGAATTGCTTTCTAAATTGTTGTAAGCTTGTGTTCCTGTGACATGACCTTTAGTTAGGCGTTTATGTTCATTCACTCTTATTTTGAGTGATCTGGACGTTTGACCCACATATTTAGTCGGACACTTGGCACAAGATATTTTGTAAATTACACTATTTTTATCAATAATTTTTATTGGATCTTTTAGTTGATTTATTTTATTTTTAATTAGGTTCGTTGGTTTAAACGTGGTGTGAATCCCAATATTTTTGAGGTTTCTTCGAATTGCCTCTGATGTACCACTTTTGTATAGTATTGTGATAGTATTTTTGCCATCCCACTTCTTGCCATTCTCTTCTTTATATTATCTCTGATAAATCATTTTGGGTAGTTGTTATGGAGTAACATTTTGAATAAGACGTTTATTTCTTTTGTTGGTCATTTGGTGTTGTTGTAAGCTTATGTATTCTGTCTGCAAGACCTTGTATTAACCCTCGCTTTATCGTGAGTGAATGAGCTGAGTGATAATCAAGGAATCTACCAGAATGTCTAGATTTTTATATAGCGTCATTTTCATGCTGCCATCTGTTACTCTGCAGTCTAACATAAACAGTTCCCCAATTGCACACTCGTCAACTAGGTGTATCTATAGCCTTGAGTGAACTAATATCCTACAAGTGGTCAGCCGTGATTTCAAGTATCCCACTCGTAACGTCTCTGATCGCCACACTGAGTGACACAGGTGTGAGTCTCTAAGGAAACACCAGCTCCTTTGAGGATACAGATACACATTGCTGACTAGTGCCAATATTAACGACATCTAGGCCTAATGCTTCCTGTTGACAACCATCAACCACCGAACATGTCAGAAAATAAACCAATTCCGTACTATTCGGAGGTATCAGTTATTCTGTTCCTAGAGCTTACAAGCAGCTAAAAAGTCATATAGATAACATTTCAGGGACCAAAAAGATGATAAACTATTGAGAGTCATTTTATTACTCAGTAATCACAATAGTAAAACAAAGCTATAATGACCTTTCTATAACATCATTTGTGATTCTTTCAAAGTGCTATAACAAGTATGCTTCTTACCTATGCATACATCTGAAGAGTATACTAATTTGAATCACGCTTTGTCCTCTCTCCTCTCTATCAAAAAATGACAGTGAACAGCACATGGTTTATGAACTTTAAACCTTGAAAAATTATACTCGCAGCAGGGTGTTTTGAAATAAAAACATAACAATTTTGATAATGAGTTTAACGTGTATTTCTGCTCTGTGAACTGATAAGATTTGCTGACATGCTGACAGATTAGTATCTATCAGACGACTTAATTAAGTTAAAATCGTGTCATTTCATGATGAAAGGAATTCATGAAATCGAACATGACTTCTCATAAGAATATTTTTTTCAAGAATTGTCCGAAACAAAGCATAAAATGCACCGATCATCCATCATCTGTTATAGAGATGAATTAAATTTATTTATTGAGTTTTTAATGAAACAAAAGCTGTAATCTGGCGTGCTATGCATTTCTGACATTTAGGAACCTATGAGGAAAAACACTTATTGGTTGCAAATGTAAATTTAATATTTATTGATATCCCTCATCCACAAAATGAATGTAAATGCCAGGGTTCGAATTCAAGACGTTCTGTTTACAAGGCGAGCTTGTAGAGCACTAAGCCCCTGGGACCCGATTGAAATGCCAGTCCATGATTTTCAACTTCTGCCAATTCACGACATAGCGCGAGAACTAGCCAATGTCTTCGGTGAGTATTTGCCCTCACACCCAACCTGCTCTACTCTACCCCACCCGGTGGGTGCGTACTGCCGAAGAGTCCCTAACCGGAACGAAACGGCTGTCCAGTACTCCTAGGTTTTCCAATGGTTCTCTAACTGACGTCAGCACATGATGAAATCCTTTAATAATCTGTTTGATTTCAAAAATGTGCTATCATTTAATAATAATAATAATAATAATAATTTGCTTTATTCCAAAACAGTACTTGTGATACAGAATGGAATTCTCAGCACTTTTACTACAGTATTGCATCCAGTTAGTACATTGTCAATAAATAGAATTCTACATAGATTGAGGAAACCACAGTTCATTATTACAACAATACATTGGCATGTTCAGTAGCAAAGGTAAAGCTGAACAGTGTTTGAAGGTGTTAGAAAAGTGGGAGCTGTCTTATTAACTGGCGTAAGCGAAAGAAAGAGACAAAGCAGCACATAACGGAAAAAGAAGAGAGAGAAAAGGAACAGAAAGAAAGGAAATGTTGAACCTATTGATGAAGTGGGTTGGAAAGATGAGATCCAGTTGTACTAATGACTATTTAATGAATTATAGGTGTCACGCCTAATGCTTTCTTTATCACACAGAACGCGAGCTAAGTAGGGTATGGTTGAGTTTTTGTACTTGCTGGTGCGAGCATATAGTTTCCTATATAGGCTTCTTGTTTTACCTGATGAGATGCAAGGGGAGAGTTGTGAGTGAAGAGGGTGGTGTGAGTTAGATAAAATGGACTTGGCCCATTTTTCACATGAGTCCATGTGCCTGTCAACCAAAATATTAACAAGCTGGTTAAGTGGCACGTTGCTTACTCTGCTGACAACATTTAACATCCTGCGTAATATGTTATAGTCTTTCTTCAGTAGCCCGGGAAAAACTAAGGGGGAACAATAGAGAATAATAGGCAGGATGCGAGAATTAACAAATTGTAGGAGTAGGGGTTGGGTAATACCAGAATGTTTTAACTTCTTAATGTAGAAGGCAAGACGGAATATTTTCTTAGAAATTGCTAAGATATGAGACGACCAGGAGAGATCAGCAGATAGAATGACACCTAGGTATTTAATTTCCGATTTAGTTTCTATTTCAGTGCCGTCTATTTTGCATACCTCGTGAGAGCCAAACAGTTTGTTTAGGTCGGATTTATGCCTAAAGGTGAAATTGACTGTTTGGCATTTGGAAGGGTTTAGAGTAAGACCATTTTCCTTGGACCACTGGCTGATTTCTGACAGAAAGCCATTAAGTTTAGAGCAGTCGCTTTGACATTTGATAGGCAAAGATACAGACAGATCATCAGCGTATTTGACAAAATTAATGTCATTTGAAGATGGTAAGTCATGTAGAAAGAAGGAAAAGAGAAGTGGGGAGAGTACAGCGCCTTGGGGGACTCCGGCTTCAGTGAGTGCAGCAGAGGATGATTTACCTTTGTATACGGTGTACTGCTTTCTGTTAGAGAAGTAGGAATGCAACCAGTTAGTGACCCAGGACTCAGTTTTCGTCAAAGAGAGCTTATTTAGAAGGAGACATCTAGGAACAGAGTCGAAAGCAGAAGTGAAGTCAAGAAACGTGCAGCGGACGTATTTAGCACCTTTATCTAATGATGAGACGATGTTGTTGTGTAAGACAGCTGCAGCGTCTAATGTACTCCTACCCTGTCTATAGGCAAATTGTTTTGGGTCTTCGAAGTTTTTAAGGGAGGGTTCGAGTTTAAGACAGACGGATACCTGTAAGAAATAATGCCGTATGTTGATTGAAGTTTCCCAACTAAACGCCTCATAAGAAAGATATTTTGTTCCACATTTTCTGTATCTTTTGATTAAAAAATTCCAAATAAGTATGGCTGATTCTTCCATACTATGTGTGTATGATTTATCACATTAATCTTCTAACAATTTGACCGTATGATGTCATAAGTTTTACTTAAGGCATAGTCATTTTGTCATTAAGCAAACCGTGAAGTAGGTCACAAATTTTACAATGTGGATAAATCTGTTTAGCAATCTATTCATGCAAAAGATGCCCTAAAGTCTATTGCTCAACTATGTTGACTAAAATCTAGTACATCTCACTACCGTTATCACAGTTGGTAAATTTAGATATATTACTTATGATTCACTACGTTGTGAAAATAAACTGTATTATTTTCGACATAAATATTAAAGGCCAACATCAGAAATGATAGAACTATTCTGTTATGAACAGGAGTATCAAAGTCTGTGATACCTCAAATAATGGGAAATTCCACAAATCGATTAAATTTAATTTTACATTATACTGGTCTTTGAACACTGCTTAGGAATGTAGAGGTTAGCTAAAAACATCCCTGACACATTGGTATTAATTCTGAAACTACCTATCCAGTAAGATATATATATGTTGTTACCGTTTGACAATTTTATTTTACATAACTTCTAAGCACTTCTGTCAACCAGTAAAATATGAATATTTTAAAATAAAATTTTCAATCACTGCATGCACTTTCCCCTAATTGTCTATACAAATCTTTAGAGAATGCAGAGAATTTGATTACAGTTTGCAAATTTAACTGCAATGATCTATTCAAACTTTAAATAATTGCTCTTGAAAGGAATTGTTTATTTCAAATATCTACCAATGAACTGTAGAAATTTGCAATACTATGTAATCTGGCTTCTGGAAAAGTTAGCTTGTGCCAGTTTCGGTTTATGGAGAATGAAATAACTTCAGTAGATAAAAATTTGTCTGCATTTCTCAAACTTCTTTGTTCCACTTAAAAATAAAAGACAAAAATTCTTAAAAGAAAAAATCACCTTGAAAACTGACCATATTCCATAGTTGTTGTGTTGTGTTATTTTTTAAAATCTTAGATGGTGACTTTAACGAGTATTTAATATTATCATTATTATTCTTTGTTTAGCATCTTCAGTATTGTGAATAAGATCTCTTCTGTCAGTGTGATTTTATCTTCAGCATAAGAGTCGATATGTAATAGGTGTGAGAATAATACAGTGAGTGCATAACGGTTAATCTCTATAACTAGGAAAGTAGAGTGTATCTTTTGCTAGGTATCCATACAAGAAAGACTGTTAGTGAACTAATAAAAACTGTATGAAGGGAATCAGAGTAGTGCACAAGAAATTATTGTCTATCAGTAGGCTATAAACAGTCCTTTGTTTTATCTACCAAATGATAATAATCAATACAGGCTATTCTGCTTCTTCTCCATTGAAAAATTGTGTTCATTTTTGGTGATTGGCTTAACGCATTGTTTCATTGACTGAATTATTTTCTGAAGTTGTTGGTAATGTTACAGTTACGCATAAGGAATTGAAAACTGGTGTTGCTTGTGTTTCATTGGTGACTGGTTCAGAATTGTAACAATCATCTACTTGTTCACCTTCAAGCGTCACGTTATTCTTTTTGTTGCACGATTCATTCGTATCATTCTCCAAAACATAGCTCAAATCATCATGGATATCTAAACTAGCGCTGCAAATCGGTGAGCAATAGTTCTCAATGTTATTAAAGGAATTCTGCTTCAATGTATCATTTGATAATTTATTGGTATCTTCTGAAACCTAGAAATATACAAAGTAAATAAGAAACATTTACCATCGTATAATAATGCAACATAGTGTCTAAATCACTTTTGACAAAACACACACCACATTTTATTTCAAACAGTTATTAAAGTCTTTTCATCCCAAGTTCTATAAGCGCATTAAATAAATAAGATTTTGTAAGATATGACTAGGTAGAATCTGCAATCCAAACATTATGAAAGTACCCGTAAAAGCTGATTTCTAGCCAACGAGTGTCAGTTACAGATTATAAAATAAACAAAAGTACCACATAACTACAATTCATAAACCTTTCAAGGGTTGAAATCTATACAGTCTAGATAATTCGCAATAATCAAGTGAAAAATCTGCTGAACACTTAAAATACGTTAGTGTAGATAGAAACAATAAACTATATTTATTTCGATAACACAATAAGAAGACGTGGTTTATCTGAAACGTGTAATGTATTTGCACAAAACATTTCGGACATTCTGATCACACACGTACTTGTCATACACAGTTTTATAGAAGGTAAGATGGCATGAATCATTACAATGCAGGTCAGATTGTGTACAGGTCTAGGTCGCAAATAATCTGTAGGGAGATGACGCAAAGATGTGGGTAAGAAATAGAAACCAAAGCAAAGAAGGGATTGGAAATATTATGAAGTAAATTGATCCTTGGTTCTAAATTGGATTACTAAGGCAGGTTTAAAGTAACAACAACAACAAATAAAACCGCCAGATACAACTGATCCCGGAAAAGATGTGCAACCTCATCTATAGCTAGGCACATTATATAGACGGTTCATAAGGTTGATTTTATTAGTACCTTTAAGCCCATATATAAACCAAGGTTGGGTCACATACTTAAATTCGTTGAAGCCTTGGCCATAAAAAAACCTGTCTTCTGTGTCTAAAAGTTATTTGTTATTACTTCGGTATCACTGAAAGATCCGGACAATATGCACTGAAGAATCAATTAACAACGAATTGTGAAATCACCGAGGGACCTTAACAGAAAATGGTAGGGCTTCTCCGTAGACGACTTTCGAAACCTCTCAGTAAAACATACTTCGCCGCCAGCCTAAGAGTGACAGTCTTCTGCAAGAAACTATTCAACCAACACATGAAAGACAAGCTGTCGCATTGGACCACTTCAACATGTATATACCAGTTCACTCGCTCGTGTAGAGCCAAGTAAATTATCCGTATCATGCATCTGCTTATAAAGCGCACTAGGAAACACTATCTAGCATTGCTAGCGAAAGGAGAACTCAGGTGCGTATATAGTTTGGTAACAGAACATCTTGTGTATTCATGACATTCAGCTTCATTTGAAAAGTCCTCCAATGTCACATACAAGTCCGAACAAACTTCTCAAGGGGAGTGAAATAAATGTATTTGGGAATAGCTGAGGCACTGGCAATCCAAAAGTTCAAGCCCACTGTATGTATGCAAAAGAAATACGTCCAACCGTTGTCCCTACCATGACCATCATAAAAAATTAATCCTATCGATAGTGGTTATTCTGTCGCCTTTCTTATCCAACCTTCCAGTTTATTTCTGTTTTTTATTAAATTCCTATCTGCATTACTATGTTTTTTATCCAAACTTTCTGCCTATTTTGTCATTACTACGTTTTTAATCCCTAACTGCACAAACTAAACACTCAAGTTTTTCAATAATTATGATCCTACTGTGTCTTTTTATCCAATCTTCCTCTTTATTATTTTTCGTAATTTTATTAATTTTACCTTTGGCCAGAAATCGTTCTTGAAATTTCTCATGGATTTACTATAGATACATACATGACTGTACAGTGCAGTTGATTACTTTGTCGAAAAGAAAATTTTCTGCGCTGTAGCCTTCTTTATTATTATTTCCCATGATCTGATATGTGCATTCTGTGCTTATGTGTGCGTGTATGCGAACACGTAATTATAAACCAGTTTAATTTCAAATAATATAATTTTTCCATGTGTTAAGCGGCTTTACTACAGAAATTAGTGTACTGCTGGTCGCTTCAATGTGATTTTCTATGGATTTTCAGTTCTTCAGTTAATTCCTCGTTGGTTTTTTTCATTAAGCCGATGAAACTACTTTTCATATATTGTTATAGTCGTTAAAAGTACCGAATGAGAACGTTTAAAACTAACTGACCTATATTGTATTCCATAACAATTTGATATTAATTTTATTTGAAATACTGTTACAGACAAAGTGTTCACTTAAAGATTGCCTTGACCCAATCCAACTAAACAATTTAATTTACTAAATACCACATAATGAATGTAAGATGATTAGATGCAATCTGGAAGAATTCTTAGCCACCACTATGCAAACGCTTTTATACAGTAACAAAATAGAATGAAAGAGGGAAAAATTTTCTAAGTGTAATATATTTAGACGGTGAAAGAATTTAATCTCTGAATCTTTCTTCATCCAAACACCTTAATACATTTAGTGAGAATGGTGCAACATAAATCCAAAATTTATTCGAAAAAGATTTAAAAATAGGAGGAATCAGAACCAAGTTGGAAAGGCGTGCGAATACACTGATATAATTATGAGTATTAAATTGATTTCGAGACGTCATCAAGTGATTAATGCTGTATCACTGTGTGTTATATTAAACAGGATATAAGTGACAGATATTTATGCAGTCATTTTTAAGCTGCCTATCTATTAAGGATTAAGTTCATGGCAAACGGAATCTCGAAATCATAAGTCCGTTGATTTATAAAGAATTATGAAAGTGGTACTTGCAGTCGCTGTCTACCGATATGATTGATTCTGTCACTGAAGTTTCTGTTTACTCGTAAATTCTGAAAGCGTTAAATGACCAATGCTGAAGAATTCCAAGTGGTTTGAAAGTACGCTACACTTAGCATAAAATCTAAGCCAAATGCTTCGAGCTGACTCACTTGTATCATCTGACACCAACTTTGAATGTTTATCATATTTAAAATAAGATGACAATACATTCCTTATCAAGTTTCAGGAACTTGTATTTATATATCATTCTTTTCAGTATGATGTTTAAATGTTGATATTTGGCATAAAATGACTAACAGTGGAATCCAGGATGTGCATTTCCTGCTGTTTTGAGACTCATCACCTGAATGTACCTCCATTTCCAGTTAGTGATGTTGACCCCACCGAGACTCGTACCCAGCACTCATCGTTCCAAATACAAGGACTGGGAATGGAGGTACATCCAACCGATGAGCCGAAAATAGAACGAAATGCGCATCCTGGATACTATCGCTAGCCTCCATGAACTAAACAACATAATTTTTATCTTTAAACATTCTTTCTAGAAGTCTATATATCAACAGAGACCGAACGTTTCGGTCCAAAATGATTAGGTCAACGAGAAATACAAATTAGTCTAAACAAATAATCAATTAACTTGACTGAATAGTCTCTTTTCAAAAGTATTTTATCAAACACATTAAATCAGCTGAATTATTAAAAGTCATAACTCAGCACGAATATGAAATTAAGAAGCAAGATATTTTGCAGATATACAAATAACTTTAGTTATATTTATACATATTGAAAGACAGACTTTGACCTATTTCAAATGATGCTGCTGATATTTGGTGTTTTATTCTCTTAATTTGTCACTTCTTGATAACCTCTAGTCAACAAACCAGCAATATACTAATATATTCGGCAAGATTTGTCTACCAAATCATAATATTAATTACTGTGATCGAAATATCAGTAATGTGATGAAATTATACATCTTGTCATACCTTTGCTAGTTTTAGCCATATTTTTATACAAGTAGTCAAGTGGTTGACACACGGCTTCATTTCTTTCAGCAGTGATCGTAGTGTGGAGTACGTAACAATATGATTGTACACTCTTTTTTTAGATGTTAAAATTAGAAACATTGTACATTACTTTTGTTTAAAACAATTCATGTTGGAATTTGGATAACTTCCGAGTACAATCTAAAATACAGTGTACTGTTGGTCGTTTCGTCTTCTCACTGCCCTATACTGTCTACTTGCTTCATTCATAACCGTGTTGTATACTCTGGATTATTCCAAGAACCTCTTATCCTCATCCGAAGACCATTCTACAACCGGTACACAGCTTCTACCAGTAGGCACGACTCCAGTAGTGAACGCTTGTGTGGATTATATCAATAATTTGTAGCCGTGGGCTCTAAGTGTATATCCAAGTAACCGTTTAATTAATATAACTTATTACTGTATTTTTTTATAATATGCTGTTACACTATCATCTCATTAACTTGGATTTTTATTCACATACTTGTTATGTTATTGAGCTCACTAGACAGTCCCCTACAGCAGTACCTAAGCAATAGTGTTAGACTTTGAGGCTTTACTTCAAAGTTATGACCTATTTTCATGCGTATCGAGTTGATGTACCCAAATTCAGTGCTAGATATTGATTTATGTAGCCATCAAGTCATAAGAGTTTTGAGCAAACGATATCTACAAGGCGAACAACATGGTCAATAAAGGTAACTAACTGCACGGCAGTATTATGTAATGTAAAACACTTCACTGATATATTAGACGCTAGTGGCTAGTAGACTGTTGCATAAAAATGCTTTGCTTACTAGATAGTCAAATTCTGTGTTATCTCAATTTCAGATCGTCAGAAATTTCACAAATCCAGGATATAGTTTTATTAACTAACGCATTAATTAAATGGGCTGTTAGGTTATGCCGAACTTAAGGAAACTAATCACTAACAACTTTCTTCAGTGTTAAGTCAAAACAGGACATATCTGCGAATATAACTTTTAAATTATACGCAAGGAGGAAATACAGGACAATAGTAGGAAGTGGAGGAATTATCTTGTTTAAGGATTTCCCTTATATGTGTGGAAAACAAAAATAACTATATATGTCTCGGATAATGCATATTTAAACTATTTTGGTCGATAACTAACACAGTGTCTTGAATCGTACTCATAAAATATTGATAAGTGTCCAATTACTACTCAGCATTTTCTTAATTTGTAAAGGAAAGTATACGGAATATGTAGAACTTATCACTACAGAAACAACACATGTAGTAAACAGATGCCTTTTCTGTTACGCAATCTCTACAAGAACCATATTATAAGAATTTAAACCACAGATAAACAAATTAAAAGTGCTTTATTTTAATCCCAGTGTGTTTATAAAGTCAGTAGAACAAGACTATCACACACGCACACACACACATACACAGAAATGTCTGGAAAATTCTCAGGTTTTGTTTTCTGAACACAAACTGAGGATATGTCAGATCTCTTTATTATCTTTTAATCACAATTAGCACTGAATTTACTGCATGATATTCAAGCCCCAACTAATTCAAGAAAACTTACTTGATCATGTTCCGTATCCGTTTCACTATATCTGCAGGTTACAAGATGTTTGGGTTGATTTTCATTTTGGATATTTGGGCGAACAGTTACACTATGACTTTCCAAGTCACATTTTATACTCATAATTTTATTTTTGTTGACATTTCCAGATAGAACAATGTAACTGTTATCTACACGCCATATTTTCCATGATTGATGATGATATCGAACAGAAAACTGTATACAAGAAAATTATTAGTCAAAATTATATATATATATAACAATAGCAATAAGTTCTTCAAGCAAACATTTTTATCGTAAAACATTCACTGAAACACTTACTCAATAGCAGGAATTTCAAATGTAGAAAGATAACAGGAACAATTCATGCTAATGCTTAATCTCTGTTTCTGTCTAAACTATCCGTATTACTTACACTCCGTGTGTGAAATAAAATAATAATGGTGCATAGAATTGCTTAGAAACCATAATTATGGTAACGAAACATCAAAAATAACTGGCCGAACGAGTCGTCAACATAGAAGTTTACATTCAAATGCATCAGTCTAAGATATCACACACAGAGAAAGAGCACATAAAAGTAGGGAAATGGGATGATAAAAGATTAATGAAGAGGAAAACTGAGTGCCAAACATACTGAAGCTGATACTCAGGTGTTTAGAAGATTCTGCATCTTGTCACCACCTTTACATAAGAAGACAATATCATTCGAGAAGTTTTGATCAGAGAGGCTTTTCCCCAATACAATATCAATCCCTGGAACATACGCGTTGATCGGTATCATACTCACTGGTACTTTCACAACGAATAAGAATTGCGACCATGAGGATTATGTAAAATATCACTGACTTTACCCGTTTCAAATGACAGTTTTCTATAAGCTCCTACGTGACTGCACGGGTTCAAGTAGTGTTCCCTAATTACTACAACAAGCTTTCTCAACACTCTATTCATTGCCAAACATCTTCACAACACTTCTCGATCACCTGGGAAAATTATGTCTTCAAGTCATATAAGTGTGACTGTGATATACAGTCTGTAGAAAACCTAAGAAACGATCAATGCATACTAGTGAAAGTCTGGAAAATGCATGGTTTTCTGAACTTAATTTCATCTGCCCCCTAAAACTACGGAGCCTGGAGTCTTAGACTCCATTTTAGTAAAGCTACTTTTCACAGGAGACTTTATCTCCCTTCTAATAAACTGTAACGATCAACAATCTACAACAGTTCGATGGAAGAATCTCGGATTTCAATGCGCTGACTAACACCTTAACTAATATTATTCCCAGGAAATGATGTATTGCAACACATCAACTTATATTTTTGGCTTGAAGACAGCTTTCCGCATGAATTATTCAATATTTTTAACAGAGTAACTGGAAAGTGAAAATAGCAAATTAACAAGAAATGATGTATGGTGAATTCCCAAAGTGACAATTTCACGTGTTTTTATCCGAACCTCTTTCGATTATTGATGAATTAGTAATTACGAGAAACAGACTTAATTCATTTAAGTCAACAGCTGTTATCCCGACAAAAATAACTTAAAATGTGTTTCATAATTCATTTTCGATATATTTTAAATTTACCATTGAAGTTATAATCATGAACTTCAGGGAGAAAAGTGGTAAGTCCCCACTTAAAGTCCCTATATGTATATTGTATCAAACATTCAATGTCAAGACAATCTATTTTGAAGCTGTTAATCATTGTGGTGAACTAAATGCAATATGCTTTAGAAAAGCTTGTCTTCTAGAAAACCAATGCGGACAATTTTGAAAATAGCATAAGCCCTAATCATATTTAAAAGTATGCCAAACAGCTTAAAAGCTAAGCCTCAAAATGCTGAATAGTGCTTATGGTAACTAACAATCCAATGTATATCAAACCATTATCTCATCCTGCTGCAGAACTGAAGGAATGAAAACTGCTGCAAATATGCACCGTTTTGTTTCAAAACTGTCAAGAAATAAATACATGCGACTCATTGAAGGACCGCGAACAGACTTACCAATTTTGAAAAAAGCACACTAACATCCACCTACAACGTCAGAAGTCGTTAGGTTGTGGTTTTCAATCTTGCATCTTAAAATTAGTCGAATTCTTATTCAACTAACATATACGTACTAGCTCTCAGTAAGACTCAAGACCGAAAGTCACAACCAACGCCATTTGACTAAGGATGACTGCTCACTGATGAAAGAGGAAAGAAATCATCCTATTTCCCAAACCTCAGAATATCAAACTAGTAAATTTTAACCTAGAATGTGAATGGTGGCATGTGTGCCTCAGAATGTATGATTCTCATCCCAAACCCCCAAGAAGTAGTTAGAAAATAGCTATATGAAAACCTTACACCAAGATAATAATTCTTCTAATGGCTCTTGTTTTTCAGCAGTTTTCTAGATCGTGTCAGTTATTGATAAAACCTACCTCGTGACCAATCAAATCGTTCCATTGATAGAATTTGGGTACTATACCACTAAATGTTAGTTCTTACATGAGTTTTGCTCTCAGAAATTATTGCACTTTCATCTTATTTATACAGCCCTAATTAATAAATAGTGTTAAATTTTATTAAAACCCTTCATTTCATTTTAGGTTTTAATGAAAAAATGTTAGAACAAATAGGGTGGTGCAACAGTGGTGTAAAATAGAATATTAAGAAACGAAATATATTTAACACAAGCAACAAAAGCTAATAAAGCAGCTCGTTTTAAATTCGCATCGGGAAATAAATATTTACAAACTCATATTTACCGTTAACCAAATTGTGAACACTACCAGTAACAGACTGCACAATAATCCAAGAGAAAACGATTGCCAAGGGAAACTTCTTTGATTTGTTCCAATTTCCTCTTGACTGGAAGAGACAGTTAGCCATGCGCATAGTGTAAGTAAAGGTAGCATCAAAAGCAGACAAATAAAATCAGTCCACAAATGCTTGCGACGGTGGACTCCATCTCCATTCCCTCCGAACCATATCCACTAATTTGTTGATAAAAGTTAGAAATTAGATTGTTATTGTCCTGTGGTTAAATAGGTTTTTAATGAACATAACAGTGAAAACGTCGAAATGAATTGGGGAATATAACCAGGCCAATAATTTCTCGCTCAATGATGAGTCTGTTTGTTACTTGGCTCAGTGATTTAAAAAATATTTATAGTCAAAATGAACTCATTCATTTTTTTTTGAGAAAAACTAGTAGGCTGAATAACAGCATTTCCAGCTTAAATTAACTAGTAACTTCAAAAGTGAAGGAGGATTTCCCAACTCAAGGTATTCAGCTTTCTACTGACAACATTTATAATGCAAACAAACCGAAAATTAACGTTGTTTGGCAGCTGAACCATCATTTTGGCCGGCTTGATAACCTTAACCTTATAAGTTTAATTTTTGTCGAAGTAATATCAGCTCTAATAGCAATAGCTAAGATGTCAGCGCACCAAGATTCACCAATCGAACTTACTCTTTTTAAAATAGCATATCAAAACTCTTAAGTGCCATGTTTTGAGGTTGACATCAATGAAAGTGAAAACTTAGTGACTAACACAACGTACAGACAATAGGTATGTCAACTTGACTTTGTTCAGACTCAGATTTATTGATTGGGAATAGAAAGCTTAAGGCCTATGTTGATCCTTTCCTAATAAATTTCAGTGATTGTTCAAACCCGTCTTGAATGGACCAAATAAGGGCACTTATACATTACCAGCATATCGAAAACCCTGAGCAAATGATTCATATTTGTTCCTGTGATATATGCTAGCAAAAACTCCCGCATATTTCGACAGCCATATACAATAGATTCAAAAGTACGATTCCCTATCATACCTTTGTCAAAGTTATCAAACAATCACCAAAATATCAATATAATTAGATTGATATTTATTTTAACCTTGAGAACAAAATAAATATCAATTAGTTGCGTTCAAATTGTTTGGGGTCTTTCACCGATCCCTTCGAACGCAAATAAAATATCAGTGTCACGTGAAATCAAACCTATGAAAATATTTTTACGAATAAAATTTACTTCACTAAACGTTGGATAGCATCTCGAAACTTCAAACTTGAATCCACAGATTTCGCATGTCCTGGATCGAGAAATATTTAACCACCTCTCCAGACAATGCTTGTGCAGTATCCCAATGGTTCCTATTATCTGCGTGAACTGAAGAAAATGTTAGTGATATGTTACCTGTACAGTTGCAAGGACTTATAAATTCAGCACTGTTACTGGATTCAAGACAAATGCGACAATAAAGACCATTCGTTTTTCTTAACAAATATTCATGAAAACATAATGGAGAGACATACGATACTTTCTCCGATTGACATATCATCTTCGAAAATTCACCGATTGTAATAAATGAGGCATTCGAGACTTCCGATCCACGTTTAGCAAATGAATTTATCGATGTATTTGACACAGTATTCATAACAATGGTCACACGATAACTTGTTACAAGCTATTTATTATAACACGAGACCTCGAAATTTTAAACAAGTGACGCTTGATGACCTTCATAAAACGCCAATATTCAACTTCGATTTCTTAAATACTGAAACCTTCACCCTAATAAGAATATGGTCAGTCTAGTGTAAAATACTGTGTTTGATTAGTTGGCTTCATATCCTAAACTGGTTAACATTTAGGCCTTCAAATTGCAGATTGTTTAGGATAGTGTTCTTCAAGCTCATGCCCAATGTCGTTTTTACGAGCTAGTGTAAAACAGTTTGGTTTCTTTGTGCTCACTTCTTGGTTGTGAGATAAAGGTTCTTGGTCTTCGGTGTTCTTCTGAGTGGTCCGATCCACCACTCGACTGCCGTAGCTTTGGCTGACTCCAAAAAGAGCCGTGCTGGAGTTAATTATATTTAGTTTGTAGTATGCGACGTGTTAAGACCGTGTTCCTACTGTGAGTGGAGTTTATCCTTTCACCCGTTAGTCATCTGATTTCTGCGAAAAAAGAGATTATAGTGACAGATATAATTAATGTAGGTTATGTAGACTAAAAAAGAAGGGGAGAAAACGTAAAAAAGGACATTTAATGAAATTTGATACTTATATATCCATAATGATAACAATATTAATAGTGTAAGGGACGCAGTAGTTGGAGTAGTCAGGACAGTAAGACGAGAATGTGAAGAAGTAAAACGATGAGTTTGGGTGTCCACCCATGAATAGCGTATGAGATCTTAATGGGGATAGGCCATTTGGACGCAGTCGTTAGGTTGCTGCACGATTGTTCACCCTCCGCTTAATGCCGTCCATGGACGTTCCAGCAGCTATATCCACCGGTAGAGAATTCCAATGACGGCAAACTCGTGGGGGAAAGAATTGGGAGCGCTCCAGATTCTTTGCTGTCTGGTTAGCTCACAAGTGCCTAATGGCTGACTACTTTTGTTTGAGTGATTCTGATCATTTGTAATCTTGTGGGGGGTAATTCGGTCCCCCTAAGCAGACGGCAGCTAAGTGTGAAAAGACAATATTCCTACAGCCTCTCATCTTAGGTTTTATTGTGGATACTCATCATTCCTCTTGTCGCTCGTCTTTGGACTTCTTCCAAAAGAACAGTGTTTCTTCTAAGCACGGAGGATCAGTGATGTTGTACACTTCAAGGTGTGGACTTGCGTGTGTTCTTTATAAACTTTGGGGGAAATAAGGACTGAGAGATTAACTAAATATTGGCCTATCCATTGTACGTGGGATTTACTCCGACCTCCGTTATTATATTCAAAAACGAAAAGAAGACAAAAAACTAACATAACTAAATAAGTAATTTGCAAAGTTTGATTTTAATCCAATAAGTTGCAGGATATTAGTTTAAGTCTCGTTTTTAACCTTTAATATACTTTCCGTCAGTCAGCTTCACGCAAGATTTACAGAACGCCGCGATGTTGGAAGGTAAGAAGAAATCTGATAGACGGGTGCAAGAGCAAGACATAAAATGCAGGACTTACAATCATTATCGGTTATTCAGTAATGGAGGATATGAAAATTTATTAACTTCTACAGAAGCCGGTAAGTACAGAATTATTCTGATACTAGCAAATTTATAGGACCGATTTCGTGACGGTAAACAGATTTCATGATGGAGGCTGTCTCTTTATTCATCACATGTGCTAACAATATTCTGAATATCTACCAAATGTAGGTTTTAATGATTACAAAACTCCATTCAAGCAATACAATTCAGAAAGCAGCATTACTGTACATATGCAGTGTTCCCATGCAGTACCTTTGAAAGAGAAGACAGAAAAAACAGTAGCGAAACCATACCATATTCAGAGGGTTTATATCCAGGCAGTTTTATCTCTTTTTTGTTGAAGTTATTCAAACTCAAGAGCCTTAGAAATAGAGCACTTTCCCACAGATAAGGGTGGTCCTCTTGAGTCTTCACCATCATATCCGCTGAACAGTTGTCACCACCCTACCATCTTTTAATGTGCTAGGTTCTGGCGGCATACTTCTTTTTGATCATTTTTATTGTTATGTGTCATACAGACTGTTTTTGCATTCATTAGCTATCTCATCAAAATTCATGGTATGAACTACTACTTTCAGCCGGTCATCTTGTATATCTCGTCTACTACAGAACCTTAAAATATATACGTACAATAAAAATGTCGCACAAAAAGTGTCACATCAGCAAAATGATCGCTGAAGTGCTCAATATACTATCGCAGCACTAACCTAAAATTCAAATAAATACATTTTCACCGATAAGGAACGACTCTGTTAGCTACGATGAACACAGATGAACACAGCTGTCTGCGCACTGTTTGAATAAAAGAAGTGCTTTTATCACGTATTTTCACGTATTTGACAAATCGCTGTTTTTGTTGTGGTATTCACTTCAAGAACATTTTTTAAAACCTTAACTTGACTTTTGTCTGTTAAGTTTTGATTTTAACCACTCATGCAGTCTACATTGGGTAAATTGTCTTGGCTGTTTCCAGTAGAAGTTCATTATGTCAAAAGTACTACATAAATGCAATAGGGCGGAGTGTTACTTTTTGTTAGATGATGTAATACAGTGTAATAACTGTAAAAAGTGGCATCATAAGATGTGTACTGGATTACGTCCAGCTGCATACAAACGTTGTGGTGCTCCAACATCCCACTGGATCTGCAGAATGTGTTGCTCCTCAAAGATGACTTTAGTAAGGGAGGCTCACGAACTACCGTCTAAAGCCATGGAACTTCCTGATGATAGCGTTGCTAGTAAGAGTGACACGGACTGCCCGTCTGAAGATGACGCAGTAAGTGCCATCATGAATGTTATCACACCGGCGTTTACTATCCCAGTTACCCCGGAAGAAAAACCTTCTAGGCGTTCGAAGCGTCTTAGGAAGCGAAAAGGTAACAAAACGGAAGCTGCAAACAGCATCTCAGCACCAGAGAACACTGTAGGCGAAGTTCGCCATGAAGGTGGTGCAGACACTTATCTTGATTGTACTATCAAAAACTGCAGCAGCCCTGAGAAGCAAATGCAGGCAGATGGTAAGTCGGTAACAAAAATAAGCAATCGGAAGAAATATAGTAATACTGATGGTAGTCAAACGTCTGTCACCTGTAGCCAGGCTGCATCAATAGTGGTGAGAAAAGACGTAGCCACTGCTAGGCACAACAAGCTCTCCTTAGACTCTAACATAATTGTTGGAAATTTAGAAGAGTCCAAAGAATCTGATCCCGTGAAAAGGCACGATCACGACCTTATATTAGTGAGTAGTATTATAAGGAAGATGCTCCCAGCGAATTTCCCTGGAGTATCGATTAAAAAGCTGATTAGAATAGGCAAAAGAGATGATGAACGTTCTAATCAGCGTAGGTTGCTTAAGGTAGTCTTAGGTTCTCATGATGAACGGAATCATCTACTGGCTAATGTACACAACCTTGCCGGGTCAGGAATTTCAGTCAGACCTGATTTATCTCTTGAATAATAATAATAATAATAATAATAATAATTTTATTTCTGGAACAGAAACCAGCCATTTTTACAGGCATGAACAAATGTACACTAATTAGAACTCATAGAATATATATGATTTGTTAATCTAGAAATAGATTGAATACTGGTAAATTTGAGAGAAATATTTAAAAAGAAATGTACAAATAAGGCAATAGGTAATTTTCGAGATATGCTTTCAACTGAATAATTCATGAGATATAGCATCAAATCAAAACTGTAATTGAAAAAAAATACGGTATGTCAATTTCACGCGGGAATTATAAACGATTACGTTAATTGTGGAAGGTAAGTAGCATTTTCGTACAGGTGCTGACGCGAAATATAAGAGATGCGGAATGAACAGTAATTGTAATTAAATGATTCATAGTGTTTGAAAGTCCATAAAACTTCAAATTCACCGGTAAGTACACCATAATTGTGACATTTCCAGTTGTATATGAGACCAACTTTGAACTTGTCAGCAGATTTCATGATAGAGGTGGTTCCGTTATTCACCAGGTGGGCTAGCAATATTCCGAGGATAGCGGCACTGTTTCAGTACCTTCGTTTAAGGCAGTACCTTTGAAAAGAGAAGAAGACACAAGGAAACCGACAGAGAGGTGCAGAAGTATATAATAGGTGTTAATAATTCAAAACATATGTAAAAAAAACATGGGGCTCATCATTTTTTTGTTTTTTTTTCATTTAAAAAATACTATTTCCCCCTGAGATTTTCTAGTGATGGAATTCTGGTCTTTCTTGCGAAAAGAAAAAAAAGTTTAAGTGAAAAAAGATGATAATTTTACCTACTTATATAGGTTGAATAGGAGTTAAACACAAAAGTCAAAGTGCGTGAACTATGTAGAAGAAAAGCGAGGGCTTAATAATAACTACTGTTTTTCTGAAGTATACATTTAGGTGTCCTTCTGAAGTAGGGGACTCATACCATGTACTTGCATTCGAGGGGTTTGTTATATAAACTTCAGCTTTAGGCAAATTTTCAACTTCTGTTGTCTTTTTTTTTAAATTTTATTTATTCTCTTATTCTGCAGAAGCCATTCGAACTCAGGAGCCTTAGCAATAGAGTGCTGTCCCACAGATAAGGGTGGTTCTCATATGTCCCCACCATCATATCCGCTGACTAGCAATCACCACCCTCCCACCTTTTTTGTGCAAGGCCCTGGCAAAATGCTTCATTTTTTTTTATATATCTTTTAATTTCTGTTATAATATGCCACAAACTTTTCTTTTTTTAAAAAAAAATATTTATTTGTCAACTCATTCGAAGTCATGGCATGAGTGACTACTTTCAGAAGACCGTCATGTATGTTTCATCTGTTACAGTATTTTGGAGAGGAACAATAATAAAAGTATAAGGAAAATAGACTATCAGAGTCTACATTTTCGATATAAACAAATGTAATTTCGGAAAACAGTGCATAATCATGCAGCATTAAACATATAAGTAGTAGTAATTTATAATATTTTGTTCCGAAAGATTTGACTACACAAGATTATAGTTATAGAACAGTAAGATAGGATTCATTACTATTTAGGACTCACCGTATAGTTGATTATTTAGACT